CGGGGAGGAAGCGCCAACCACGGCACCAAGCGCCCATCGAAACAGCCCGGGCTACGCTGCGGCGTGCTCACTCTAAGCGATTTTTCATTCAAGCGCCCAGACACGCACAGTGGTTTATGAATCACTGAAACAGGTCCTTGAAAATTACACTCGGGGCCAGAACCTGCTCTCCGCTGCTCGCTGGGGAGTCGGGAGCAGCTCGGAGCATGTGCTCAGCATCAGTCTGCTTTAATATTGAAATAATTTTCGGGTTATAGATTAATTGCTGGCACCGGAGGCTTGTGGGTCCATGAAAATAACGCTGAATTTGCTTGCTTTGCTGTGCTCAGTGCTCCGCTGTGCGAGCCACAGCAGCAAAGTCATTCCCACAAAGCAGCCGAGGCTCCGGGCCAGCCATCCCCATGTAGACACCTTGATATGGACAGGACTGGAAAGCCCTTGCACATCCTTGTTGCTCCGTGGGACAGTCCCAGATCCCAACAGGTTCAGCTGAATGACCCCAGTCTGCGGCAGGGCAGTGGCCCCTTCTCCCCCTCTGCTCTCCTCCTTGCAGAATGACTCCCAAGAAGTCTTGAGGAACAACAAGAACCAAGCCAGAAGATAACACGGATCAGCACAACACTTCAAATAGCTCAAAGACAGAAAAAAGGAGACAGTGGCTGCTACCCTGTTGCATGAAGCTGAGCTGTCTCTGAGCTTCACTCTAGCATTGCTATTTCCAGCTACACCCACAGCATCTTGAGCTCTTCCCGGCTCCCAAACCGGCTTCCTCAATGTGTTCGCAAGGCCCTCTCACCTTCTGGAGGCTGCAGAGTTATTAGAAGGGAGCTATCTTTGCTCGCTGGAGGTACCGTCTGCACAGCGCAGCACGCTGCCTTTCATCCCCTGCTCCTCTAATTATCCTTTTAATTTGTTTCTTCTTATTTTTATGTACCTCCCACTCCTCCCGCACAGCAGATTGCGACTCACTTCTCGGCATCTCCTCATCGCTCCACGTAGATGGTCTCTGCGCGGCCCTCAAACGCCGTCACCTGCTCTCGCCAGGCTTGTTATTACGTAAGATTTAATAACGAGGACAGGAGCGGAGAGAAGGGGCAGCGCACACAGGCCGGGGCTTGAATGTTGGCTCCGGGACATGTCACTCTCAGGTGAGGCCCCCAGGTGAATGCTCCCTGCAACTACCCAGCATGTCCTGCTTCTTGTGCCTCCGACCAAACCCACCTCTCCCATCGCGCAGCAGCAACTTGCAGCACCTTCTCCTCCAGCATATCCCAGGGTTAAGCCAGGAAAGATCTTCCAAAGGCAAATCGCCCCTCGGCTGTCTTAGAGACACGTTTGCACCGAGGATGCCGCCTTGACAGCAAAGTTGATTTATTTACATACGTATTTATTTATTTCTACTTGCTTGACGCTCTTTCCCGCTGCTCCGGGGACATTTACATAATCAGATCATGCACAGCTAGATGGGAGCTGCGCGGCCCCGAGCGCACCCGCTCCTGCTGCAGAGAGCCAAGCAGAGCCTTCCCGGGAGAGCAGCTCCTCGGCCACCCTCGCCCAGCGCTGAGGGCAGCTGGTCGCCAAGGGCAGAGGGGGACGCAGTGCAGCCACACACTCCTAGTGGCCACAGAAAGCAGCAGGCACAAGCACGTCCACGGCGTCACCCCCTTGCCGGATCAGCCGGGCAGCCCGTCATCATCGTCACTGCCAGCAGGGCAAGTCACGGACACGAGTGATGGGACGGCCTCGGAAGCCAAATGCTGCCCACCTGCACGATGAGGAAGGGTGCGCACGGCTCCGGCGCCCGCCCGCCCCGCCGCTGCCTTCCGCCGTGCCCGGGCTGCCGTGGAGCGAAGCAGCGCACGGCGCGAAGCAGCGCACGGAGCGCAGCAGCGCACGGAGCGCAGCAGCGCTCACGCCGGCTCCCAGCTCAGCCGTGTCATGACCAGGGGCACCATGCAGAAAAGGAGCATCCGCAGGTTGGAACGTGCTTGATGCTCCTGGCTCGGATCTCTCCGGCCAAAGGGACTTGTGCAAGGATGATTTGCCTTCTCCTGCAAAGAACTAGAGACCTGGCCAAAGCATTTTGTGCTCGTGTGGGATCGGCAGCCCTGAGATGCCCACCAGAGTCTGCATGGACTCAGCAAAAGGGTATTTTCACCTACAGCCAGGAGACGGCTTGATGCCATGTGCTTTTCTTTTGCAATGCTTAACATTTAAACGTGGCAGATTTGGGACTTTTCTATTGCCCCGGACAGGAGGACACTGGCCACCAGCGTCTCCACAGCAGTTTATAAAACTCTGGGGCATTCCACCACGCTAAAGAGAATATAACCTACAGGCACTCAGTGTTCACGTTCATGAATACACCCAAATATTCAAAAACAGTCTGGACACAACCCTGGGCAAAGTGCTCAGAGTGACCCTGCTAGAGCAGGGGAGCTGGACTCCAACTCCCTTTCAACCTCAACCATTCTGTGACACGGTGAAAATGTGACCGGGTCCAACTGGGTCTTCCAAATCCACATCCGTCACCACTTCTCTCCGCCTAACACATCAGGCTGAGCTACAGCCCTGCTAGGAAAACACCGTAACAGAAAGTGATTAATCACAACCGGTAGTGATTAGTCACTGCCACTATGTGGCCGGGAGCACCAGGTCGCCATGAGAGTACGCAGGGTTGGGTTGCAAGAGTCTCTCTTGCTCCCATGATTTTGCCCACTGCTTGTTCCCCTCCTGCCCTACAAAGGAGCCCTTCAGGGGACCTGCCCCAGCCTCCCTGAGGGCTTTGGCCTTGATCCTGCCTCCCTACCCGCATCATCTTACTTCTGAGGACCCCCATCCCAAAGGGATGGTCTCATCAGAAAGCAGAGAGGCAAAATCGCCGCCCCAGATCTGTCCTTCTAATTCCGTCCTGCCTTCTCACACATTTCCCTCTTTTCTGACATCTCCTCAAGAAGCTTAGCCATGAGCTGAAGTGAAAAAGACGACGCTGTTAAAACAGATCTCTCTGACATCCACCTTAAAACGCCTCAGATTTCTTAGCTCGTGTCTGCTTTGGACCCGGCCAAACCATCTTGAATTCCTGCCACTTCTTCCCCACACAACAGTTCAGTGACATTTCCCACCACCCAACAAACCCGTGCTCAGGCTCTCACCAGCTCACCTTGCAACCACCACCACGTCCTCTTGTTCGGCCTGGGCAGAGCACTGCCCTGCTCGTCTCTATCCAAAAGGCTGCTAAGAAGTCCTTAAAATGCCTCAGCATTTTCCTGGCCATGCTGCTTTTCCTATATCCCTCCACTAACTCCTCTGTCAGTACCATCGAACCCACGGATCGAGGAGAGGAGCCACCTCTCCTGGGGCACCAAGGGTCAGTCGCGGCCTCATGCCACAGGGAGCACCACGCTGTCCTCACTCAGAAAACTTCCACGAACTCTCCACGGGGAGAGCTCAGCACGGGCATCCGCAGAGCCGCTCTGAACCATAGAACAGAAAGCCTTTTGCCCAGTGGCTACAAACCCGGCACCTGTTCCGCGATGCCGGCGGCTCTCGGCCACGAGGCAGTGCCCGGCAGAGCTGGCTGCTGCTCTTTGCCTGCCTTCCTAGGTGCTTCAGCTGCCGCTAAGAGCCCGGCTGGCTGCAAAAAGAGGTTAATGAGCGCCCTCGGGCTCCTGGCACAAGGCCACGAGGAGGAGTTTTTTTTCTTCTTTAAACACATCTTTAAAACAACACATTAGCTTTCGCTCTGGGGGAGAGAGGGCTCTGCTCATGGGTCCCTGAGCTTCGCTGTCATTTATCATATATTATTCCAGCTCTGACAGGCTGCTTTTTTTTCTGCTTTAAATATTTAATTTAGGTTTGCCCACAGCACTGAGGCCACTCTTCTCCTCCCCTAGGGTCCCCAGGGAAAACGATGGTTCCCCCCAGAAGGACACTCTCTGTGATAGGGGCAGATCCACCGCTCTCTCCTGTCAGGAGACGTTGCTGGCAGAAAAAATCAGGAGCAACGTCACGCTGTGCCAGGGCAAAGAGCGGTGGCGAGCGGCTGCCAGGCACTTGGCGACCGACGATAACCCAGCCCCGGGCACACGGCAGCGCTCAGACATCGTGGGCAAGTCCCTGACTTGCGTAAAGCAACGGGAGAGCTGCAGGGATGTCAAGGAAAGTGGGAACGACCCAGGACATGCATCCGAGCCCATGGTGGGAAAGGGAATGGCCAGAAAGCAGTGCCGAGAGGCCCGTTACACCCCAAGCTGCTGCTCTGCCGGAGGGGGACGTTTCGGGGCATGTGCTCAGCAAGGGCAGCGTGGGCCGAGCGCCTTGCGTGCCGGCAGGAGCGCCGGCTCCCTCCCGGCACCGTGTCCTGAACCTTGGACATGCTGCCCTCCGCGCCGCACCAGCGCTGTGTGCTCCGCTCCCAGAGAGCCGGGCACAGGGAGGAGCCAGGACACGGGAGCGGGACAGCAGGGACGCACGAAGGGAGAGGTGGCGGCGCTCGCCCCGCGCGCGCTCGGCACTTACGTTGATCATAGCATTGGAGCGCTATGAGCTCATTGCAAGTGCTCAGGTCCTCCAGCTTGCTCGAGAGGGTTTTCAGCGTGCCGTGCAGCTCGCCCTTGTCAGACTGCGAGGCGGGCTCCTCGTCGCCCGAGTCATCTGCAAGGGGGGGATGGAGAAAACACCGTTGCCATGGCTACCCCCGGACTGCGCCGACACCTCCTCCTCCTCCTCCTCCTCCTCCTCAGTGCCCTGCCCGCTCCTCCCGCCACCCGGGCGGCCCCGCTGGGCGGCTGCGCGCTCCCCGTGCTGGCAGGGGAGCACGCCTGAGGTGGCCCCTGAGGCACTGTGAGGGGCCACCGTCACCACAGGCCAGGCGACCCCAGGGGAGAGGGGACGCGAGGAGCCACCGCCACAGGCCGGGCTTGGTGGCCTCGCTCCCAACCTCCCGCTTCCCCGCAGTGACAAAGGATCGGCTCCGGCACAGGCCTTTTTCCGAAAGCACGACGCCTCGAGAGGGCAGGGCTGTCTCTCCTCCCCGTCAGTGTCCCCCCATCGCAGCCACAGCGGTCGGACTGCAGTGCCAGGGAGCCCAGGGTGGCCAGAGGAGAAGGTCCCCACCCGTCGCCATGTACAGAAGTCCCGTTTTAGGATAGATATGCAACGCCATGCCACGCAATGGGGCAGGATGAGGGATCGGCACCACCACATGTGACGGGGACGGTTATCCCTGCAACTTCTGGGCACTTGGGTGACTTAAAACCCCCAAACCGAAACCCTCAGCCAAAGCAGGGGAGCAAGAGTCACACTGCGGACCTCCTTACACCGTCACACCAGGCAGGCGGGAGAAGCGAAAGGTGCTGGGACAAGGCACTGCCCGGATCATCAGATACAACAAGCGAGCGTGGAGCAGGCCGGTCAGGGAAGGGTGACGGGCATGGCCGCTCTACGCGCCCTATGCTGCGGGGACACCGCTGCGAAGCGGACGTCCACCCGCGTGGGACAATGACAAGCAGACATCCCAAGGTGGCCTGCACCGGGTGCAACCAAAAGCCACTGAGGCTGCACAGTGCAAACAGCCCCTTCATTTCCCCTCCTCCAGTCCCCTGGTTCTTGGGTTATAATGAGACAGGGACAAGCAAAACCAACCTCTGGAGCAGAAACAGAGAAGAAATCAAGCTAGACTCTACTGGCACAGATCAACTGTGAGAAAAGGGACAGGTCCTGAAATGTGGGTATTTGGCGCTCGGGGGCAGCTATGAAGGGAAGGCACACCAGGCTCACGTCAGCTCCGCTCCACCACAGCGGCAGCTCTGGCCACCAGGAGATCCACAGGCCCAACGACCACCACCATCCAAGAGCTCCCACACCCCACGAGCCCATTCTGGGTTGAGAAAAACGCCAGCCTGTCTCCACGAGGCACAAACCTAACAGAAGTATCTCCAACCTACAGGAGAAATTTCTTCCCTCGGTTAATCCTTTCTACCCAGCAGGCTGCAGATTCTGGGAATGAAGAGAGGAACATGTTCCCCAGGGCCTCCTGCTTCTTCAGCGGGAATTGAAGAGCAAGGTAGGACGAGGATGTCCACTTAAAATGAAAAGAAGACACTGTGAAGCTGCGAAGGACAGACCTTGGAGGTGCCACGCTGCTTTCAGCGCTGGGATGCAGGGAGAGAAGCCCATACTTAGCTGATACATGACTGCTGGTTTTCTTCCTTTTTTTTATTCTGAGTTCATTTAAAAAACCTTTCAAAACGTTGTATTGAGAGTGATGTTCAGCCATCACTCCATGTAAGTACATTGATGCTACAGCTCCCGGGTCAGCTAAG